ACTAAAGGAGGCTCAGTCCTTCCTCATAAAAGGTTTTAAGCCCTTCTACAAATTGTTAAGATTCGTTAATAAAAGGGCTTGAGCTTCCTCAAAAGATTTGTTCACAGGATTTCCGCTCCGATTCTTCCAATTTTGCTCGGTAGTAAAAATGTCGAAAACTGAGCTGGAGACATCTGAATATTTTCTCGTTCAGAAAACTGAAAAAACCAAGTAACTAAATTCGAATCAAATGTTTACTGGGTTGAAGAAGAAAAAATGAAAGACAAGCAAAATACTTTGAAATATTAGTTTATCGATCTTAAATAATGTTCTTATCATACAATCATAGCTTTTTTTTGCTACAATTAAAGACAAATCACGAAGGAGATAAAATGCTCTAGTGAAATAATTGTTATATCGATTATATCTGTTTATTCAACTTTTTTAATACTATTTTCGTGTATTTTTCTGCTTCAATGCGCCTGTCAGTGTGGGTTTAGATGAAGAGTACGCCGATACCTACACCCTTATCCACACTACCGCTCGTCCACAACCGCCCACATCGATCTTCGACCACATTCACCTATATTCACCCACGTCCGTACTCTCACCGTCGCCGCCCGCACCTAGTTTTCATCTTGATCTTCACTATTGTACTGTGTGCATGTATGCCGTGTTACATTGTATTGATCAAAATTTAGAAAAAGTTTATTACCATGGATTTAGAAGGATTTATAATTTTTGACATTTTCACTTTCGATATTTAGTTTCCACATTTTCATTTTCGACCAAAGTTGAGTTTATCTCGACTTCCTCTACAGATATGGTCAAGGGGGCTGAGCCCTCCTAAAAACTTTTTTCTGATCACACCACTATTCCTTATATAAAACGATAAAAAAAATATTATATTCCGAATCAAATACAAGATTTTTACAGAGAACTTTGAATGAAAAAGATGTGTTGATTTTAGTGGTATAAGAAAGGATTCATAAGCTTTACAAATGAAAGATTCAGTTTTGTTTAGTAGGTTCGCAACGTAGAATCAAATAAAACTGATTAATTTTGGTTACAATCTGATGAAAAACGATAATATCAGGAAAAGTAAGGTCATAAGTTAGATTGACTGCGCAAACAACCAATTTCCAATAGTAATTCCACGGAAAAAACGTTTTCAAAGAAAATCGCGATTTCAATGAATTGCGAAAGTCAGACCGTTTGTGCGTCTATACACACCGATCAAAACCATGGTGAGAACCAAGAAAACTGCGGTTCAAGTTGCACAAAAGAACTTATGTCGGAAGGACCTGGTCTCTATTCTCACCGTGGTACCCACAGGTCGGTATAGATGTATAAACGGTCTGACTTTTGTAAGTTCATTAAAACTACGGGTTTATCAAAAAATATTTTGCGTGGAATAGTTCTTACGAACAGACTTTATTTGAGAATCTCGTTTATATTCACGACAGTGTGTTTTTTCCAAGAAGAGAAACGCCAGAATTTTATTAGTATAGATTCATTATTGACATAAAATACAAAAACAGAGATATAGTAATATTCCGAATCAATATCTAACAATTAGAGAACAAAATAAAAATATAATCATTAAGCTTGATAATATTATGAACCAAGGTAGTTTTTGCCTCTTGTAAAAAAAAATACATCAATAATATTTAGGTCTTGTGATTTAAAATAAACATCATTTGTTACATACACCAAAACTTCTCACCGTAATCAGATATCTTTTATTAATTGACACATTACTACTAAAAAATAATCATGCATAAATCAGATATGACTTTTCTATAATTAAAGTATCATTTTTATCTTAAATTAATCATCTATTCAAGTGTATTCAACCTTGATAAGAATACAGACAACAATATGAGTATCTTTATTCTATTGACTGAGTGTTCATCAACATGATTACGTATGCATCAACACTCATATTAACTTCCAGAAGTAGTTTCCGAATAATGTCTATTTTGTAGTTTCATTTAATATTGAACTAAGTTCATGTTATCATAATGATAGGAAGTAATGAGCAAGACTTCCGTTTACTAATAAAACTTGTTTTCTATCATGTAGCATAAATTTACTGTAAAAGAAATAAAGACTTTTTAATACTGAATCATTTTCGTCTATAATACTTTTGTAAGAGTTTACTATTAATAGCAAGCAAAATGGAAAAAGACAGTGATATTTTTCAGTAAAGTTCGAAATAACATTCTTACATGCCGCATGATACAAGAGACTTGTAATATTATATGAGCTACTTATTATGGAAAATTAATAAAACATTAATTGAATAATGTACACATAAAAAGATGTGAAAATACATTTTGAATGATTACTATTAGTAGATTTATAGGTATTGAAAATTAAGTTAGACAAAACTATTATTTCAGATTAGCAAATCTTTCCTTGATTGATATGATAATAATATTTTCTTAATAATTCCTATAGAATTTTTTTTTGACTAAATAACACGTGTTTTTTTTTAGTTTCAATAATGTCAAATATAATATTAGAAATACATTATACAAAAATGTAAGTATATGAAAATAAAAATAAGTAATCGATATTTTACAAAAGTCATCATAATATACAATCCGATGTTGTAAATACAATTGTTTTTGTGTAACATATTTGGGTGACATTAATTGCAAACAAATATGTCAACCAATTGCTTTCCGGAAATATTATTTTAAAATGATAATTAACATTTTTTCTTTTCATTATCCAATTCTCATATGTTTAAAAATTACTTCTCATCAAAAATACTAAAGACATTTCCTTTTGCATCGAGCTTTAAAACAATAAATAAATAATAAAATAATAAAGCAATTTCTGTTTTAATTTCTGTGTTTCACTTCAAATAGTAATTACTTTTATTTGATCTGAAAATATTTTCTAATGTATTTAATATTTGAATAAATCCATGAAGAATGTTTTATAAGGTAAAAAATGTTGTAGCGCGTACTCATTAGAGGTTTATGTCAAATAGATATCAATTGACATATCGTCGAAATTTATTTTTCATATGTTTGAAATTAAAGTAAAACTTATTGTAATTATTCTAATGTATTTCTCTATAAAAGTCATTTTCATTATTTTCTACTTCTGCAGACATTACATAAATATGTGACTAATTTTTAAATTATGCAAAAATATGTTTGATTTTTTTAAATAGAAGTTGAAATGGCATTATAATCTGAATGAAGGATGTATAGATTTTCTTTCTATTATGTTAAAAAATAAGAAAGAATTTTTTACTAGATAATTTCAATCTACTCTTTATTTCATATAATCTTTCAACAAGAAACACACTTTTCGTATTAATCCTAATGCATGAAGTATAAGAACGTAAAACAATTCTAATTACTAATATAGTTCTAAAAATAAAAAATCATATAATATATCTTATACTAATTATAGAATATATTTGGTTTATCATTAGTAATTTATCCCTATATCTATTAATATCTGATCACAAGAGTCTGATGTTTCTTTTTTTTATTTTATAACACTCCGATGACGATGCTCTCAGGTACAGTACATTTGGATTATGTATTATATTTCATAGCACGAGAATAAAGAACATGTATCTCAATAGATTGAACTCGAGTGAAAGGTGCAAAATATCACTTCCTAGAAGGCAACGCACAATGAACATGATGTTTTTCTTATGAAAATCAGGATTTTTCTATAATACCGGCTGGTAAAATTATTTCCTGAAAAGGAAATGTTATTAAATAGATATTTACATAATATATACAAAGTTTCTTTTGTCATATTGACAATAGAAGTAATATTTTGAAGATATTTTTTAATTGAGAATATTAAATCACTAATATTTATATTCATTCTATTTCCTGACCTCGTAGTTTTATAAAAGTTTTAGTTCATATTTCTTAATGATGTATTTTGAAAGAATAATTCTTCACATATCAAAAGCGTTCTTTTTATATCTTATTAAAAAATTTTTTTACTGCATTTCTGATAATTATTATACATATCTTTTCTATTTTTTCATCATTATGTACATGGAAGATTTGTGAAAAAAGAAGTCATATTCTGTCGAAAATATCATTGATTTTACAAAAATCATTTAAAATATATTCTATTTAAAGATTTTAAATTGATTTTTTTTCTAGGAAAATATCATACATCTTGTTAAATCGTTGAATTCATTATATCATTAATCAGTCAATTGCGTAGGTTTACTTTGAAATTGATTACTCATATATGTAACATATGAAACAAAGTATGTCATGTCTCAAAAATCAGTTCTTATACAATAATTAAACATTTTTTAACATCTGTTTGTTTAAAGAAAGAAAAAAAAACAAACTATGTGTTATTATAGTATTACATATGTCAAATAGTAAATAAGATATACCTTTTTTTTTCTTAATCATCTACGTCATTAAATGATTAAAGACACTATGATTTATCTCGAGCAACTATTCAAAATATATTTAAAAAAAAATCATATTTTATAGATTGAATAATTGATGAATACAGATAAGCTTGTTCAAAATAAATCAATCTTCCATTATAGATTTAATTGATATACGAAATAAAAAAATATTAGTAAAGGAATTAATAAATCGATACATCATGAATGAGTAGTATGATGTTCTATTTTTCAATTTAATATTTTCTTTACCTAAAGCAAATAAGAATTTTTTACGTATTTTGATATATACTAATGAATTAACTTCTAAAACATATTACATACTGTTACATAAGTGATTTCTTAATTATTTATTAAAATGTTGAGAAATTTCTATTCATTTCCAAATCAAATAGTCATTCGAATTCAATATTAATATTAGATGTTTTGAAAATATTTATTCTTTTTATTTTTATTGAAAGTTTAAGACCTTCCAAAAAGAAAAAGGAGTCAAGTAAACAAATATGTCGTATTTCTTTTTATTCGACCCGCGAGTTTAAATAACGCGTTACATGCAATGATAACAATCGCAAAAGTTCGATTTACTTTTATTCTTAATAGAATCTTAACGATGACAATATCTCGTTAATTCAGAGAGAGTACATAGACTTTCACAACATGATTCTGTAATCATTCGTGATGCTTTGATTTCTCGTGGGATTCTGTTAATTGTTGGATATATTCGACGAAAAAATAGCGCTGGTGCTGACATTGTTCGTTGTTGGACACTTGGTAATGGTGGTGGTGTTGTTGTTGTTTGATGTTGTTCAACAATTCGACAAACAACATTTAACATTAATAATAAATTTGGACCACATGCATGAAATACTCTTTCCAATAAACAATCTTCTACTCGATAAAGTTTTTTTCGAATTTGTACAAGACTATTTTCAGTTAAATATTGATCATTATATTCAACTACACATTGATCATTACGTAAACGTTGGCGATAAGTGACATCGGCTGCTTTAATATAATGTAGTTTACCGTCAATTATACGACGAACATTACGTGCAACATTTGCTTTGTAATGATGATCATCTTGTAGATTAGTATTTATTAAGAAGCCTTTATTATCATGATCAATACTGCTATCATTTTTATTGTTGTTGTCATTATAATTATCTATTGTTGGTAATGTTTGAATGGTAGCAACCAGTGCTATTAGCCATAAAGGAATATAATTATTCATCACGATAATTTATAACAAATGATTGAATGGTGTGAACTAGCACGCTAAAAATTAAAGTCTTTTCTCATAGGTTTTCATCATTAAAAAATAAAATCTTACATGTTCTTTCGTTACTCGTGCTTGATCAGCACAAATTTAAATTTGCCCGCAAAGGTATTATGTTTTTTAAATGCTTCTACATATATTTTGACATCTATATATATATAATTTATCGAAAAAAACAAATTGCTAAGAGAAAATAGAGAGAAAGTAAACACAATACAAGTAAAAGAAAAAGGAAAACATTTATCTTTTTAAAAAAAACATTTAGTGATTCTTAATCATACGTAAGAAAGAAAAAAGTCTAATGTTTCTTTCACCGGAACTCTTTATATTATCTATGTTCATTCCGCCAACGCCAATTCTAGCTTCCGTGTATATATTTAGAAAACAGTTAGGAATGTCATATGATAAAACTCTAAATACTCATGACATTTTTGCTATATAATATATGCATTTAATAGAATAAAAATACCACTCTATATTCAAAAACATAAAATGTCGTGATTTACTCGATTTCTTTTTCATGAGTTTTCAAGGATTTGTTTGTTCGCTTTACAATAAACATTATAATCAAGAAATAAATGCTTAGGAAAAGAGACATGATCCAACATATGTTATCATCTTAATTATATTTGTTAAATATATATACGGAATATCTTTATGAAATTTTCATTTTTTTTATATGAATAGTTTCTTATGATTTCACAATTAATTAAGAATATGAAAAAAAGTATGCATATATATATATATATGTATATAAATTTTTTTTTTGAGTGTATTAATTTCATTTTGTACATATATGAAGAGAGACAACACGAAAATAAGATTAAAATCTAATGAATGTATCTTGTGACAAAATAGAACACAAAATTAAAAATATGATAAGGCTTTAATAATCGATTCTTCTTTTTTTTTTTGTTTTCTATTCTTTTTTTTCACCATTTTAAAGGACAATATTGAATTAATTCAGATACCGTACATGCACTTTTACAACATTCACTATAATAAGATCGATCTATAGTATTAATTAAGTCATCTTCTATTTGTCGTCGCTTCAATAATTTTTTCCCATAATGTTGTTCAACGTATGAACAAACAAGATTGTGCATTCGAAGAAATAATTCTGAACCACATGTAACTACATATGCTCGATTTAATCGACAATCTTCAACTTTGAACCATTTGTTTTTTATTTGAACTATTTCACCTTCAGTTATTGTATTTGTTTTTTCACCTTGATTATTCAATTCAACCGTACATTGCCCTAAATAGGTGTTAGAAAATTATATATACATAGAACATTCTTAATTATGTATAATTTATTAAAAGGAATGTTTAGTATTTCTATTTTTATCTACGTAACATCTTTCATTTCATCTACGCATAATTTATCTTCTCATGGGATACTCGATGAGTGTCACAGAATAGTTGATAAATTATCGGTTTCAATAGATAAAACGTACCATGGTCAGAAACACGTTGTGTATATGTTGTATCGATACTTTTTATTGTATATTGTTTTCCATCAATATATTTTTCATTAAGTTTGGGATCAATAGGTGAATTGATAACTAATGACAAACAGCAAACGAAGATAAGAAGAGTCGTGAACATGTTGTTTGTTTTGCTAAGCGGAAGAAAATGACAAGAAATAGAAACGAAGGATGAATCTATAAAAATGTTATGTTATGAAAGAAAGAAAAAGAAATCTTTAGGAAAAAAAAGCGTTTTGAAGAGATCGTACGACCAATGTGTTTGAGTGATGATAAAATACAATGAAAAAATCAATTACTTAAAATTATGTTTGGCATCAATTGTGTCGAAGATTCTGGTCTCTTGATACACTTTCGTGTTGTCTTTTTAGTTTGACATTAGTCAGAATCATTAAGTAGAAACAGTTTATTTAAACAAAAAAAGAAAAAAAAACAACAACAAAAGAATAATAAATAAATCGTTCATAAATGACAAAGTAAAAATATCCATTTACATATGATTTTGGATTGTTTAAAGATAATATTTCTATCCAATGAAACTAGCTAATTTTTTTTCAAGATGATCTAAACGATTATCAATATGTTGTTGAAGTTGTAAAAATTGTTTATCAATATATGTTTGTAAACGATTTTCTAATGCACTTAACTCTTGTTTCATATTGTTGTTGTCTTGGCTAGCGGCACTTTTCATGTCTTCATTTACAGAAGATTTAATTTCCTTAAGTATTGGCGTGAGAAGTGTAGGCGTTGACTGCCTGAAACCAAATAAGTAAAACAAAAAAAAAAAAGGTTAACATTAGTAGAAGTGCTTAAACAGTTAAGTTCATATTGAACAACATCAATATATTTAGTATCAATTCTTCTTCTAATCTTTCAGTTCATCAAACGAAATAGACATGTCAATAATCAATTGAAAGGGTTTTCATTAAATTTCTAGTGTTAATTTTGATAACAATTGTTTATTTATATATTTTTCAAGGAATAAAAAATATATTTCCTTTTGAATTCTCAATAAAAAAAAAAGATAATCTACTTATAGAGAACTTATTTTTCTTTCTAATCTGCTATTGATAGTGTATCATTTTTATACAACATAACAAATAATTTCAATCAATAATATAAACAAGAATATCTTTATTCAAATCTCATCATATGATAATATGTGATCTAGTTTAATATAACTTATCATCTAGTACACTTAATCAACAAAATTTGACATTGAAAAAAGCTTATTACTCTTGATTCATAGCTGATTAAAATGAAAAAGTTTTCTAAAGCGAAAAAAAGAAAATAATAATCTTATTTTACGCATATAGAAAACAACAGCACATATTCGAGTCCTTTTTTTTCTTAATAATGAATTCTGACAGACAATTTCTATTTATAGAAAAATTAAAAAAATTTTTTTCTTACTTTGTATTAGAAGATGAATCAGTCATCCCTAAAGAAACATTTTTTAATTACATGTTAAAAAATTAAAAAAAAAAAAGAAAAGAAAATTTTTTTAACCTTTCATCATTAACATAATTTGAGTTAAATTCATTTGTTGTGAAGAAGAAGAAGAAGAAGTTTCTTTTGTACGTCTTCGTTCTTGTAAATGTTGAAGATCATTCATAAATTGACGTGCATTTGATGATAAACTTGTTTCATCAATCATTGAACGTACACGATTTAAATCGAATGGTAAATTCATCATTGGTATCGATTGTACATTTGATTTATTTTTACTTAAATTTATTTGTAAACAATAAACTATTAATTGTGTTATATCAGCAAGTTTTAAACACTAATAACAAAAGAAAAAAAAAATCTATGAAATAAATAAACGAACTGAATTCGATAGATTTTACTTTCAATGTTATTTCTTCATGAGATTGATTAAATTCAAAACTTGATTCATAAATAGATTCACTATCAAGTTCAGTTATACGTGAACCTTGACAACTACCAATATATTCTCGATGATAAAACTATTTTTAAAAAATAATAATAATAATATGAAAATTAAATTCTATATTACTTCTATATGTTTAGCATTGGATAAAAATTGAATGGAAATAATATGATATTCATCTGGTTGAAGAACACTTAATATTATAATTGGATCTTCTCGTTTGTCTGTTTCATTTGATCGAAGAATTACACTTGTAATATTCTCATTTGATGACGTAGTTTTTCTAGATAAGATTATTCAAATAATTGAAAGATTTTATTCTATTTTGTCGATTTTTAAACATATTCAAATTAGTATGACGTTTGAAAAATTTAACCAATATGATTTTCTTTACTGAAGAAAAAAAGAAATCATTCTAATTAACTATGTATGATTTTATACGCAGAGAATAAAATTAAAAATAAACTAAACAGTTCAAACAAGAGTAAAATTATTATTAGCATATATACATTGTAACTCATTAAAAAATATCATATCTCACATACATAGAGTAAAGCTGCATAATAAATTAAACTCAAATGTCCTTGAAAAGCAAAAATAAAAATAGAATTTTTTCATTCTATTTTTTATAATTTGATCTTCATCAAACAAAATATTTAATAAATTCGTTTAATGAACAAATTCTTAATTATTATTCAACCAGTATGTCATTTACAATTATTATTGCGAAAGAATAATTGCCAGTTTCGAAAGACTCACATCCTTCCGCTAAACAAAACCTTATATTCAGTATAATGATTATAAAAATAGAAAACCAACCTAAAATTAGTATCATCATTAGTTTCTTCTTGTTTATCCATCATTGTCGTTTGTTGACTTTCCTCAATATTAATATCACAAACAAGATCAAGTGCTATTGAATTTACAGATGACCAATTTGATCGAACTGATACATATTCAGCCATCTAGAGTGTTTTTTTATCGAAAAAAAAAATCATAATTGTTTTTTGTTCAGTTTTTTTTTCCACTTCATTTATCAATGTAAAAAACAAGGACATTTTGATGGTCTGATTCTTTTTTTTGTTTTGTTTTAACTGAATAGAAAGTAAAAAAATAGAACATAACAAAATGTGCATAAATGAACGATTAAGAAGTTGAAGGAGAAGAGGAAAAAAACAGTTTTATCTAATAGTTATACACGCATACAAGAACAAAAAAAAAATGATAATCTAATGATTTAAAACTATCGCATGTTTGATTTTTATTTTTTTTTTCATATTGCTTAATAAAGAACAAATTGTAAAACAAACAAACAAACAAACAAACCAACAAACAAAAAAAAATTTTCACTGTTTTCTTTATTATTTGCTCGTTGTTTTTATAATGACGAATAAATAAAGGGAAAAAAGAAATGAAGATTTTATTTTATCAATAAAATAAATATGATGAATAAAAAAGAGTTACAGAGTGCCCGGTAGGAGTAGCATATCATGACTACATACATGTGCTATTGGATATACCAACGAGCTTTTAACAGGAGGAAAACGATCTTCAAGTGAATGTGTTTGATA